TGAATGGCAGGTGCTCGTATTATAATATATTAGTATATATATAAGACTGGCAGGTGCTTGTGTATATATTATATCTTATTACATAGTATTCACTTTATACACATTATAAACTTATCAATTATTGGTATAAAATGGGTCTCACTTAATACATAGTATTCACCTTACAGACATCATACGCTTTTTAACTATTTGTATCAAATGGACAAGAAACGGGTCTCATATCTTATGCTACGGGCTAATCAGGCGACCCTACTCCCTGTCACTGTCACGTCCTTCTTATGACAGCGGTTAATCTGTCGATCCTTAAGTCCGTCTTATGCGTGTGCTACTAGCCTTATGCCAGGCTTTAAAGTGGGCCACGAATGCCACGAATAACCCCGAATCCAAAGTTTTCCCGATTCGTAGATAAATCATAGACGGTTCTTGAAGTTCGTAAGTGATTTTCGAAACAAAACCTTTCGTGGACTACGGATGCCACAAATCGTCCCGAATCCAAACCTTTTCCGATTCGTAGATCCAACGCCATCCCAAAATTATGAAAAAAAAGAATTAAGTTACTCCGCATCTCAAATCGTTAAACGGTCAAGCTCCATCTTATATAAAAAGTCGTGTAGGATCCTATACTGCAAACAGAAAACTCCGCTCTCAGAAAAAAAAAACATCTACTAAAATTTATATCTATTAACTTGCAAATTGGAAAACCTGTCGTTTCCTCTGCTGGACCTTTTCTATGGAATAAACTACCACAGTCACCGAAATAATTACCGTCTGTGGGCCATTTTAAATCTCAACTCAAAACGTTGTTATTTCAAAACCCTGATCTGTAAATAATGAGTGAATATAAAAACCAACAGCGCCTTAAAACCTGTTTTCTTCGGTATTAGCACGTTTTATAAATGACAATATTATTATTATTATTATTGATTTGTCATTTATTGTATATTGCTGTCAATGCCTGTGTAATTTGCGCCTTATCCGCATTTGTCTTTTCTGTTTTGCGTGTGTGTAGTGTGGTCCCTTAATCCATTTATTGGACAAATATTTCGTATAATTTGAAATTCATCTGTTTGCAAAACTACATTTGGTGAGTTTGAGTCATCATTTTAAACCCCGTTCGACGATTTTCAGCTAAAAAGCAACCCCCCCCCCCTTTACTGGATTTAAGTAAGAATGCAAAACTCCCTTTAGCGCCCTAGAAACTGTTCTCCAGTCTTAACGTGCTCTATTAGTAAGTGCTGGAGTACCGCACTGCACGTAAAACAAAAATCTACAAGATAAACCCGCGGACAAGACAGAAGATAGACATTGCACTAAATAAACAAATATCAAATCAAGTGAATGGATCCGGGGGCCAGCCGTAAAAAAAGTAAAATGTAAAATCCAAAATCAATTATAAAAGTGTTTTTAAAATCGTGCATTTTATTATGCCTTTTAATAAAAACAATTTATTATGTGAATAAATAATTTAACAAGACAAAAAGAAAAGAAAAAAAATCAGTAAAGAAGCAAGCCACATGTTGATGTATTTGAGTAAACAGATTTTACGATTCCGACTTACCTTTCTCCATTTTGATAAAACCCAACTCAGAAAATATTCCACTCCTCCAAAATATTTCAGCACTCGTTCTCTAGCTTCGTTAAGTTGATTACAGGAGCTGCATCTCCTGTGGTCGTCATGTTCATTTGGAGCTGGCGGGCCTGTTACAGACTTCCGGGATTTCACATTGACTACTGGTAAAGTGGTACCAAATGATTCCAGATGTTGTGGGATAGTTTCTCGTTGTCTGTCATCACTGATCGTGGACGATACGTAGGACAATAAGGAATCACAATCGCCATCCTCATTTGATATAGTGTCTGAGATTTCTGAGATATCCTCAAACCAAATCCGTTTCTTGTCAGCGGAATTCCCGTATATTCCATTAGGATACAAAGCCGCCAATTGAACTTTTTGTAATGAGTTATCCGGGAAGACCAGCTCCCTTAGCTCCGATAGATCTAAATCCTCACGAATACGGGCTTTTGGGAGTAGCATTGTTGGAACATGGTCAATGGATATCTTTCGATCTTTAGGATGGACGTAGGATCGCCGATATTCACGAGAAGCATCAAGGGAGAAATTGGGTAAAATTGTTCCAGGAGTGATTGTCTTGTATGGTGTGGTATATGATCTAGTATCTCCTATATCTGTAGAACAGAGATTAAACTTCACCACCGGCATCTTTAAAGTTTAAATGAGACTATCCACTTTGTCCCTATACAATTATATAGACTTCTTCACTTCTTAAGTTTGTAGTGTACTACGTTGTTTTCAAAATATAAATATTACTTAATTAAGCTGCTCGAACTCTGACAAAGTCTCTTACTCAGACTGGTCGAACTCTCTCGAACGCTGTTAGTCCCTCTGGTCGAAGTCTATCGATCTTTCTTAAACCGATGGTCGAACACAGTCAAACTTTCTTAAACCGATGGTCGAACACAGTCAAACTTTCTTAAACCGATGGTCGAACACAGTCAAACTTTCTTAAACCGATGGTCGAACACAGTCAAACTTTCTTAAACCGATGGTCGAACACAGTCAAACTTTCTTAAACCGATGGTCGAGCACGGTCAAACTTACCCTGATCGAACGTTTTCAAACTTACTTTTGTCGAACTATTTTACTCAGTCTGGTCGAACTATTTTACTCAATCTGGTCGAACTATTTTACTCAATCTGGTTGAACTATTTTACTCAATCTGGTCGAACTAATTTACTCAATCTGGTCGAACTAATTTACTCAGGTCGAACTATTTTACTCAATCTGGTCGAACGTTTTCAAACTCCCTGTCATTATCCTTCATGTTCCATAACTCTAATATTGTAATTAGATTCGAAACAAATCCCGTTTTTAGTCCAAAGTCGATCAGATCCTTTGGGATACTAGGTTGTTAAAGATGTCGGAAAATATACGATACGAGTGGAGAGATTAATATGTCCAAACGATATCACAAAAATAAACCTTTCTTAAACGATCAGTAGTTCTTAAATAATAAATCCACCTTAACATTGGGTACTATCCATACTATTGACAACGTATAAAACCCCATTCATTAATTATGTTACGTATAATTCCATAATGTCCAATTTTTGATCAATAAATAATCAATAATTCTCCGAGTTTGATGTTCGATTTATCGGTTAGAAAGACCATGTTTAATCAAGTATTGGTTAGAAAGTCCATGTTAAATTATCTACTTTCTGTACATCAAACGATATTTTATAGACTATTATACATGTATTATACGACCAGTAGACGCGAATTACCACTTGGCCATTATAGCCTGTATATTAGATAAAAACAACCATTTATTTTATTTGATGGGTATATGTTTAAGAGAGGGGGTGACGTCACCTCAGGGGCGGGCCCAGAAGGTTAAAATCAAAAGGGCTATGTCTCGCCGCACAAATAATTTGGCAAATGTGTGTTTGTGCATTTGGGCGGGCCCAGAAGGTTTAGAGAGGGCTATGTGCCGCCGCACGAATAATTTAGCAAATTTATGTTTACGCATGACTGAGTATTATGTGGAGTCCATAATATGTGGGGCTGTGATTGAGTCAATTGTCCAACCTCGTGGGTTTCCCAGGGTTCATCGGTTTCCCCCCCTTCTGCAAAAGACCCACCAGCGCAAGCGAATTATTGAAATAAAATGGAACCATAAGTTAGTTTCGAAATGACGTAGTTAATTGTGTCGAGTGGACGTTAAACCCCCTCTATCCCCCCCCCCCCTCTCTATCATTCGGTGGGATTGTCTGCGCATAATGATCAAACCATGATCAATATTTGTGAGTATCTTCCAAACGTTGATGGTAGTTGGCTGGATCCGCCGGTAGTATACAGGGGTTCTGTGTATCTAAGGGATAATTCAACAAGTTTACTGTCACTTCACGCTAAAACCCATACAGTAAAGATTACTAAGAACACACTGACTTTCACCTGAACTACAATAGAGTATATCTACTGATAACAGGGGAGAAATATGCATTATAATTTAGTTTATCTATTTTGTTTAGAAACCAGTCACTTAGTTCATTTATTCAAGTATAAAATTCATTATTAATTCAGTATTAATTCATTAAAATTCTGATGATTTAGTTATAAATCCATTATTAAGATCCACCATAAATGCCTTACAAATTCATAATAAATTCATAATAAATCATTAAAAATTCACCATAAATTCATTAATTCATTAAAAAATAGCATTAGAAATTCATTAAAAATTTATTATCAATTCATCATAAATTCATTAAAAAATCATGATAAATTCATTACAAAAATTCATTATAAATACATTAAAAATTCATTATAAATACATTAAAAATTCATTATAAATACATTAAAAATTCATTATAAATACATTAAAAATTCATTGTAAATTCATCATGAATTCATCATAAATTTTCATGAATTCATTATAAATTAATCATGAATTCATTATTAATTAATAATAAATTCATTATAAATTCTTCATTAATTCCTCAGAAATTCATCATAAATGCATCATCAATTATTCATAAAAATTCTCCATAAATTCATTATAAATTCATCATAATTTATTATGAATTCATAAGAAATACATCATTAATTCACCATGAATTATTCATATATAAATTTATCATAATTCATTATAAATACACAATTAATTCATAATAAATTCATAATAAATTCATCATAGATTCATCATAGATTCATCATAGATTCATTATAAATTCGGATGATTACATTGTCCCCCCCCCCTCCTAAAAGCCCCCAAAACCCCAAAGAAATTAGTGATATAAGAAAAGTACCGTCGCTTTCTACGCCAGTATTTAAGGAAATATACTCGGTTACGTTTTATATGTTCTTTCTTTGTGCAGATAAACCATTTCATATAGCACGTGACCATTACATTAATAAGATGAATTTATGCAAATACACATAATATCATTTAGATGAATATAATTTTGTCCACGTTTAGCCGACTGCTGGTATAAGTCCACTGTTTTATTTATCAGGAATTGAATCGAATCATACAGCAGGAATGGATAATTTGGCATTTGAAGGGGGTCTTAAAAATGGAGAGGACGGTAAGAGATATATATGCTTCACTCCAGAGAGAGGGAGAGAGAGAGAGAGAGAGAGAGTTTAACTCCACTCGACACAAACTAGGTCATTTAAGGACTAACACATGGTTCAATATTATTTCAATATTCGCTTGCGCGTAGGGGTCTTTTAGCAGAGGGAGGAAACCGGAGCACCCGGAGAAAACCCACGAGGCTTGACAGGTGACCCTACTCCTTGTCACGTACAACCGGGGAATCGAAACAACGTCAGTTGACTCAATGGCATACCTTCTGATACAGCGCGCACGCTCTAAGCATTTGGTCCCACCCCCGCCCCCAATTACTACAAGAATATATAAGGGGTCAGTTCAACTCATGGCGTAAATAGATGGATACTATAGTATTTTTAAACATAGGCGTATGGGCTCGATAAATGTTAGGGGAGGTCAGAACCTGAAATGCCTGGAAAAATTTCGGCTTTCAGACGATAGTCCCGGTCGTCTACTAGAGGCGAAGGAATCCCCTTTCCCCAAGAAAATTTGGGAAATTTGACGGCCGCAAGTACGTTTTCTTGCTATTTCAGCCGATGAATACAGCAACTTCAAAGTGTTCCAATATACTCTAACTTAGGCGTGAGAAAAATTAACTGCCGCAAACGCGTTTCCTGCTATTCCAGCCTGTGAATACAGCATCTTCAATGTGGTCCAATATAGACTACCTTAGGTGACTGACCTGAATACGGGGGCCTCGCCCTCCCCGAGAACATTTTAAAAATTTAATCGTCGCAAATGCGTTTTTTGATCTGTGAGTTGTCCAGTCGTTTTGCAAACGAAATCCCAATCCCACTCTAGTCAATTCAGATCGTTGCATCTACATTCACAATAATAATCGATGTCCGAAAAATGTGGCACAGAGTAGAGTGACTCAAGACAAAATGTTTTAATCCATAGTAAATTCAATACAAATTCCTGGTATTCAATTGAAAGAAAATTAAAATCAGTGTTTTATTAGATTTTAATCCATAGTCAATTCAGTACAAATTCATGGTATTTAATTGAAAGAAAAGGAAATTGCATGTAGTGTTTTCCTAGATTTCGGTCACTTTATTTTATCACCTAGATGAAATAATAATTTTTGTTTTCACTTTACATATCTGCCTGAAAAGTCAGATTGCCCTGAAGTGGGGGTCGGGGGGGGGGTGCGTAGACCCCCCGCACAACTGGCTCTTACGCCTGGGATAATGACGACGCAGGATGTGCTGCTGGCCACATGTTTTCGTACCATCGAAGCGACCGGAAGCTGCCCCTTACCGGACCATCTTCCCTGCATCAGTAACAAGGGGAACCCAGTTGCCATTCTTACTAGAAAAATATAAATAACTTAGACTATTTATGTATTTAGGTCTCTTACTTAGAAATGAAATAAAATGGGTTTTAACGTCCTACCACGCCGGAAAATCTGGATGAACTTTCTCGGCCAATAAATTACTTAGACTAATTATGTATTTAGGTCTCTTAAAAGCTTTCATCATTATTTTGTCGTATTCTGTGAAAGAGATATTATTTGTTCTTAATAAATACGGCCGACAATCGATCGCAGTAATGACATATATAAATATTCATATAAAGAAGACCACGAATACCCCATGATAAGTGGCGTAACGGTTTTACATAGACGAGATTACCAAGCCGCCTGTGAGTGAGTAAAGTAATGTTTAGTATGGATGTCTTGGTGATCGAGACTATGTTGACAAATTGACAAGCTAGTGAAAGATAAATAACAACAATGGATGGTCGTTCGTATATAATCAGATATAAAAGATAACAACATTACCCAATAATAAAATGACACAGGGATCTTTATACAATTTAATAACCGCTCCCTGTAATGGCCTCCACCAGACGATAGTAAAAAGTAACGAACAAATTTGGAGTAAATCAGGTTTTAATTTATTATTAACCTTTTATATCTATCTAGAAATGATCTTCTAAATTTATAATTTGATAGTTCTGTCAATATATGTGTAAGTACATGTACACTGTCTGTCAATTTAATCTACACTTAGTCGAATAGCTTAAACAGAAGAAGGCTAATCTATAAATAGTCGTTAAATGTAGTTATCTCCCTTGAAATGATACTTCGTGAATGGTGGACACGATATATACGATTTCTGACGGATTGCTTCGTTATTTTTATTGATCGTTGTGCTAGATTACATTTCTTTCCTTCAAATTTTAGGTATTTTCTTCACTGCTAAATCAAAATCGGCATTGGAAGCTAAAGCCATGGATAAAGACGAGGCCATACAGAATGGTGTCCTATTGGAATCACCCGTCAGTGCTGGTGGCGAGATAACGAATGGTGAAACTAAAAGGATGTCTGTACGAGAGAGCTTGAGGCAGGCGGCATACAGATCTAAATTTATTCAGAGCCTCTCGGTTTCTTTTGCTTTCTGGTGTTTAGTAAGTTACTTTAATCTTTATGTAATTATTAAATTCAATAGTGTCCGACAAGAAATGAAATGAAATGAAATGGGGTTTAACGTCCTACTGTTTTGCCCCTACACTGGGCTAATGAAGACGGGCATAGGCCTACGCCATACAGTGTGCTATGAGGGAAATTTTGTCCGGGCAGCGGCACTATCGCCTACTCTTATATCGAATTCCAACTGCCAAGGGATCTTTTACGTGCATTCCAATGTATACACGGGACCTCGGTTTTTGGTATCACCCGAAAGACTAGACAGCTGTACTTGCCAGGCCCTCCGTCCTGCATCACTGACAAGGGAAAACTACATCGGAAAATCGGGATGAACTTGTCCGATAAGAGGCTGTCCTAACAAGATATGAACTTGGAAAGTCTCTTTTTGAGAAATTTAAATTATTTTTGCTTGGTTCTTTTTTATTTTAAATTAATACTAATAATAGCCTTGGCCCAAGTTAATGTCCTAATTCCACTCGGTCGCGGCTTTTTTTCGCTACGAGTAACAAGGCGAAGTCAAAAACTGATAAGTATAACGTCGCCTTGTTTCTTTCTTAACTTGCTATAACCGGGTGGCGGAGCGATGTGACGTCGCCGCTCGTGGGAGGGGGGGGGGGGATGGAGCGCTGTATCATAAGGCCTGTGATTGAGTCAACTGGCGTGGTTTCGAATCCCCGGTTTTACGTGACAAGGAGTAGGGTCGCCTGTCCTTCCACTGCTAAAGACGCGAATTATTGAAATAAAATGACACCATATGTTAGTCCCGATATGACCTAGTTTGTGTCGAGTGGACGTTAAACCCCCCTCTCTCTCTCTCTCTCTCTCTCTCTCTGTCTCTCCGCCCCGTCAGTATCCACCATGCGCATAGTTCAAGCTTGAGCTTACGAATTCTTTATGACAGCCATAGAACGGAAGGCGGGGTCATAATTATATTCTTAATTGTTCCTGCAATGCGTCTATTCTGGTGTTTTGGTAGGAAAAAGTCCGCTGGTTTCTCCTTTTAATTGATGCAAGACGGAAGGTCTGCCAATGCACAGTGTCTAGTCGTTTGGATGGGACTAACACATATGGTCTCTTGTAGACTAATACGGTTAGTGCAGAAACAATGTTCGTGCCATGTGCGTGCCACTTGCGTGACCCATGCGTGAAGACATTGCGAACTCCTCGACGAGAACATTGCCAACGGCGCGCGTCAGTGTGTGCCATGAGAATCCACTACAAACGCTGACACGCCTTGTTATGCGCCTCTCTCTCTCTCTCTCTCTCTCTCTCTCTCTCTCTCTCTCTCTCTCTCTCTTAAAGCTGCTTTATAATGTTTTGTCCAACACACTCTTATCTTAAAGCACATAATTATATTTCTTTTGGTTTAGGGTTTTCAAATTGGTCAGAGGGGTCCATCATTCTTGGATATCCAACTAATAACTAACACCAATGTGGAGAAAGCTTCCACGTTTTTTACTGCTGGTTCTGTAGGTTATCTGTGTGGTTCCTTTATCAGTGGTGTGCTGTATGACAGGTTTAACAAGACCCTTCTAATGGGATTGCTACTGGTATTCTTGGCAGCTACAGCCGCGGTACTTCCCCTGTGTTCTCCATATGGACTGATGCTGGTAATATTCTGGGCTAATTCATGTGTCATGGGCGGCATGGATACAGGTAGGAAGATCATAAATCGATATATCGCAAATTGTAATATTCTTTTTTCAGCTGCCAAATGGCTGCCAGATATTACTTTTGTATCTGATCGTTTGAAACAGAGAGAGAGAAATGGTGTTTACCGTCCACTCGACACAAACCAGGTCATTTCGGGACTAACATATGGTTCAATTTTATTTCAATAATTCGTTTGCGCGTAGGGGTCTTTAGCAGTGGGAGGACGCCGGAGGACCCGGAGAAAACCCACGAGGTTGGACAGGCGACCCTACTCCTTGTCACGTATAACCGGGAATTCGAAACGCCAGTTGACTCAATGACAGGCCTTCTGATACGTGCTAACCATTCGGCCATCCAACCGCCCTGATCATATGAACTGCTGGTGATTATTTTGAAGGGCGATAGAATTGGACATATAATTAAAAATTCTATGATAGCTGGATGTCGATGAGGAATGAATGGAGCCGCCGCTGTCATTGACAATTGCACCTTGTCGCGAATAACTGACTCCACTATCCTGGTTGGTGCAGAAAATTAGTAAGATAAAATCCTAATTGATAATCATATTTCTGATGGATTAAATGTCACACGCTTGTCTGAAATTATAAGGGGTTCGGCGGTTTTCAGGACGTAGACCTGGGCTTCGACTCCCTGCACTACAAAGCTGGGGCCTTTTGTACGGACCCTTACGCATGGAATCGAGTGAAACATTGTTGGCTACAAATCTGTTCCTTTATTCGACACAACCTCAAATATTATTTTTGTCCCCCGCCTTTCGAAGAAAGCAGGGGACTATTAAAATGGGTTTGTCTGTCTGTCTGTCTGTCTGTCTGTCGGTCCGTCTGTCTGCCCGTCACACTTTTTGGGACACAATAACCCTCTTTCTAGTTGAGCTAGAATGTCCAAACTTGGTGTAGGTGTTTATTAAGTCAATGCCTTGATGGAGTTCGAACAGGAGCATTTTCTGCTTAGGGTAAGCAGAGATAAGCAATTTGATTGATTGATGCTTTGGGACACGATAACTTTAGTTCTAATTAAGTGAGAGTGATGAAACTTGGTGTTTAGTTTCATTACATCAATACCTTGACTAAGTTCGATAATGAGCATTTTCTGTTCAGTGGAAGCAGAGTGATAAGCAATTTGATTGGTCGAGACTTTGGAACACAATAACTCTCATTCTAATTGAGTTAGAATGTTCACACTTAGCGTAGGTGTCTATTAGGTGGATGCCTTGATTCCCTTGATGGAGTTCGAAGATGAGAATTTTCTGCTTAGGGTAAGCAGAGATAAGCAGTTTGATTGGTTGATACTTTGGGTCACGATAACTTTAGTTCTAATTAAGTGAGAGTGATGAAACTTAGTGTATGGTTTGATTGCTCGATACTTTTGAAAAAAAAACAAATGTGCAATTAAAGATGGGTTCCCAGAAAAATATTTATCGGGTGGTTATTTCCAATAAAAGTATGGCAATTTTGGTATATATGGAAAGTAGAGATATCCAATCTTACTAGAAAAATACTGGATTCCCCGAAAAACATTCATGGAGCCTATACAGGACAAAAATGTAAGGGTTCCCCTAATCAACAGCCCGACGATTAGGAATTTCTGCACGCTTGGTGTCAAAGGTCACACGCGAACATTGAGCGCTTGATGTACAAGTTGATAAACTTTATGAAGAGTTAGACGCACAACACTTTCTGAGATAAAAATGACGGAAAAAGACGCGGGTAGTGGATAATCCGAGAATTTAATTAGGATGCGATATTTGTAATAAATAGTAAGCGATTAAAGACAACATCGTCTTCTGTATGCAATGAATTCTCCTCTGATTTCCCAGACGTGACGTAAACATGACCTGGTTTGATCGAATTTTAATAGCAGGGCATTCCTTCGCAATTACAATGTTTGAGAAGGATTTGAAGCATAATTATGACAAATTAATTAGTTTGAATATGTTTTTAGTCTATATATACCATTAAATCACCCAGTTTGTACGCGAGAACCCATCTTTAATTAATATGTGTCATCTTTCTATTTTGGTATTTCGGCGGGGGGCATCAGCCTCATTGTTGGCTTGTTTCGATATCAAAATTGGGTTGTATATTTCTTTGTATGCGCATGTTTCAACGTGGGTGTATATCATAGTTAGCCATGTTCGTCCGTCCTCCTGTTCGTCGGCGCGATTACAGCTTCTAGAGACTACAATCACTCGATTAACTCATCTCGATCGTCTCCATTCGGCTAAACTAATATAATAGCACTCCTTGGTAACTGGCTCTCGGGATGTTTGGATAAACATTTTCCACGATGACTTATGGGACATACTTTAAATACAAGGTGAAGGTTAACTGTATGACCTTTGACACTGTATAATCGATGTTCTAGAATTATATAAACTATTAACAGATAAATATCGCTAATATCACAGGAACTAAAATATTCTTTAAATTATTTTTACAGCTGGTAACGCCCATCTGGTTTCAATATGGGGAGAAGAAGAGGGGAGACCATACATGCAGGCCGCTCACTTTGCATTCGCTTTCGGAGGAGTTATCTCCCCTTTAGTAACAGCCCCTTTCCTTGTACCGAACACTGAAGAGAGATCAACCAACTCCTCGTCAACAACATTTACAGAAGTAACGACCATGCCTTCTACTGTTGTACTGAATACAACGCTATTAGATTATAACATCACCAATGATAACTCAACTATAGGAAACAATATCACCACCATTGCTGAACCTATTGAAACTAAATTAATCTATGCTTATATAATATCTGGTATTGTCACCTTACTATCCGCCATTCCTTTCATGGTGATATATTGTCGTTACAAGTCACAGAAGATGAAGAGGAATCAGCCCAAGAAGAAGGAGGAAGACGGACTACCAAGAGACCTTCCTTGGAAATACTATATTCTGACCATTGTTCTCTTAAATTTGCTCTACCTTACCTACTGTGCTGTGGAGGACACATTTGCCGCGTATTTACTCACATTTGTGGTAATGGAACTGAAATGGAGTAAGGCGAAAGGTACCCAGGTTACATCTATGTATTGGGCGGCTTTTGCCGTCTCGAGATTTGCAGGAATTTTTGTCATACGTTGTTTACGACCGGTTGTAATGTTGTTTATATGTTTAGCAAGTTTATTAATAAGCTTCACTGGTTTTCTACTTTGTTCGCATTATCAAATCCACATAGGAATTTGGGTTTTCGCCATTTGTATCGGGCTTTCAATGTCTGTTATATTTCCAACCGGGTTTACCTGGGCACAAGAAAATCTTCTCAACGTAAATGGTAAAGTCACATCGATTATAGTAATAGGTGCTTCAGCCGGCACCATGATCAATCCTATTATTATGGGATATTTGATGGAAGAGTTAACTCCCATGTGGTACTGTTATCTATTAGTCGGTGAAAGTGTTTTATGTTTGGCAATATTTCTCGTTCTGTTATTTGTGGCTAAGTTTGTTTTAGTAAATAAACGCACTGTTAAAACTGTTACAACAGAAGTTGCGTCACCGCAAGCAGAATCTATTAACAATGACTCACCCTTTATACTAAAATAATATATCATCTGAACTATGAAATTAAGTATTAAAATTATTTTATTCATTGTTTGGTTATGAATTTATAAACCGAAAATCCTTATTAGGTATATTTATCAAGGAACCTGTTTGTACCATATAAAAATATTGCCAAGGTCAAAGATATCCATTCATGTTCGTCTGTATGTTGGTGACACTACATCAAGAAGGTTACACTTGTTTAAAATCCTGCCGCTATTAATCATGGAGAAGATGAAGACGTTGAGACCTTTTTTATTCTGTTTAAATATCAACTGATCAATTGTTCTAGTAACCCGACTGAACATGACATACTGACCCATTTATCTCCATGAGTAGCGGTGTAGATGCAATCTAATGTATTGTTCTAGTAAATACTGAACCATTTATCTCAAGGGTTAGCCGTGTGTTTAAGTGTTTAATTAAGATGCTATCTTATTATTCTAGTAACCTGGACTGGACATGACATGCTGAACCCTTCATCTCCACGAGTAGCCGTTTGTTTAAATATGTGTCAATATTTTGATTAATGACATCTGATAAAGATGATTTGGAATCATCCGATTGTTTGTTTTAATGTTATTACGTTACCATATGGATATGGATAGCTTCTGGGTGTAGAGGGTGTGCATAAAATAGATGTTATCAGGGTATCATAGTTTACTTTACAAACTATACATAATGGGCGATATTCACCTCGATTGTTTGTGTGTACTCGGGTTAGGGGTTAGATTGTACACTTTGGATTGCAATGTGTCAATTAAGCAAGTTCAGTTTTATTTGGATAATTGGGGGGTGTATTGCATATGCATTTGTAGATGTAAACCAATAAACAATTACCCCCCCCCCTCTCTAGAAGGAAGAAATATAACAAACAATATAAATACCGAGAAATCTTTACCAAAAACACAAAACCTCAGCAAATTCAACTGATATCATAATCCTAAACCAAAAAAAAAAAAAAAAAAAAAATGAAAGAAAAAGTGATTTAGGTTATCTTATCGAGAAATCACGCGATTTCAAAGTAAAAAACAGGGCCTATGTCTGCCATTGATATTATTTTCTAATGATATTGTATTTTTGATAATACTTATTTCCATTTGTAAGTAAAGATGACCATCTGTGATATAATATAAATTAGTTTGAAATTATAATGTTGATATACACCAGGTAAACCAGACGATCCACCACATTGCATTCTATTTAGACATATATACCTCCACTTAACAACCGAGTAATTTACGTCTACAATACGTCTCAATCCGCTTTATTCGTGTATGATGTTGGATTGGACTTTAGTTGTTTGAAAACCACGAATAGTAATTACCCCCTCCCCTACCCGCTAATAATGTATTTGTTTATTTTTATATGGGATTAGTCGCTGTGGCATAGCATGTAACGGAATTTATTTAAAACAATTACTAACAAGACCCAAAAAAACGCCATCCCCACCCTCGCCCTCTCCCGTTCGACCCAACCCCAAAAATAAACCCATCAGAAAATTGAATTGATCCCTGGTTTCTATGAATGCAACGAAGATGAATCCAAGAGCAGGTAAAGTTACGGATTGTTAGTAGTATACCTGGTGGTATAGTTGTGTGGATCATATAGCTAACGGTGTACTGTACGTTAGTATTTCAAGTTAATATAACAAATAATTTATTAAAACATAAAACAGCAATATTAGAGCCAATAAAAGTAGATATCTAACGTTGGCTATTTTTTTTAAACTTGGTCTAGTTAATACATTTGTTCTATGGGTCATTATTGATAAAGTATACCGCTTGTGTATTGCTTGTATATCTTGTGTAGGCCGGTGTATCGCTTGAATGATATATTTAAACTTTAGTTGTTGAGCGGTTAGGATTGAGTAGGGTAGCCTGTCCAATCTCGTGGGTTTTTCCCGGGTCCTCCGGATTCCTCCCACTGCTAAAGACCCCTATGCGCAGGCGAATTATTGAAATAAAATTGAACCTGAAATGACCTAGTCTGTGTCAAGTGGACGTTAAACCCCATCTGATTTTAATGTATTTATATGAAATATATAACACCCCACAAAATGACATAATATAAGATATAAGTCATTAATCAAACATGGAGATCGACTATAGACTGTATGTCATCATATTATTATAGATAACAAAACCAACCAATAATACCTGGACACTTGGATCTCTGTATAATTTAATAACTGCTCCCTGTGAACAGACGACAGTGAAGAACAAATCTGGCGTATAACAGGTTTTAATTTATTATTATACTTTTCTCTTGATCTGTCTAGGAATTATATATAATTTTACAATAGAATCAGCTGTTTAGTTACCACACCTGTCAATACGTGACTGTGAAGAGCATATCATATTGTAAATTGAACCGGTGTACAGTGAACCGGTATGCTATAAATAATCTATGGAGAGACATTAGGACGCATTTATACTCGCTATTGATTCCAATGTTAAGTGGTTTGTTTTTTAATTGCTAAATAATCTATGGAAACACATAATGACGCATTCATACTCGCTACTGATTCCACTGTTGAGCGGTGTGTTTTGTAATTGTCCGTACTGTGTTTGTTGAATTTTGTTTTACCTTAAGTCTACACTACAAAGTTAAATTAATCTTTTTTGGAAGCTACAATTGATTGCTTTCGTTTTACTTTGAAATGGTAGGTATTGGAAATTAAAATTATGGATAAAGACGCCGACATACAGAATGGTGTCCTGTTGGAATCACCTGTTAGTGCTGGTGGCGAGGTGGCACATGTTGCTGGCGAGGTGACAAATGTTTGTGGCGAGGTAGCAGAAGATGAAACTAAAACAAAATCTTTCCTACAGAGCATGAAACAGGCGACATACAGATCCAAATTTATCCAAAGCCTGGCGCTTTGTTTCGCCTTTTGGTGTTTAGTAAGACATAAGAATATTTGTTTCTATATCTAATATTAACCAGGGATCTGTGAAGCTTCAAAGCTGGATTCTCACTTGTCTAATCAGCTACAAAATTAACCAATCAGCGTTGATGTCTCTAATGGGTTCCATGCAACTCGCAGGCCAAAAACACGCCGTAACATACCGTTTCATTGGCTAATCTCTCACAGCATCCAGAACGCGGGTTATATAACAAATCTTCCAGATACTAGTGTTGTAAAGACAAGTCAAACGAAATTTTGAACTATAAAAACGAAACGAAATAGGATCTGTGTTTTAATTAGACAGTTACAAGTTTATACACATTTATAGGAATGATCATTACACCTATTTTTGAAATATATCCGACTTGCCAAGTCTTTAGCTCTTATACCATGTTTTATATTTCTCTTTATTTAGGGTTTTCAAGTTGGTCAGAGGGGTCCATCATTCTTGGATATCCAACTCATCACTAATACTAATGTTGAGATAGCTTCCACGTTTTTTACTGCTGGTTCTGTAGGTTACCTGAGTGGTTCCTTTATCAGCGGCATCCTGTATGACAGATTTAACAAGACGCTTCTTCTGGGGTTATATGTAATCCTCATGGCTATCACGGTCGCTTCACTACCTCTTTGTTCACCATATGGGCTGATGTTGGTGATATCATGGGCTAATGCATTCTTTATGGGCGGAATGGATACAGGTATGGGGTAGATAAACTAATAAACTCTATCACAAATCAATTAAGCTAGCTGATTTGTTAGCCGGAAACCGTCACTCAGTCACTAACTAGAGTTACCCCAATAAAACTAAGTCCTACCCGCATCAAGTCACCTTTTTCATAAACCATGGACGTTTTAATCTCACCCGATTTAACTTAATAAATCTAGGTGGACCCTATTTGGTTTTCTGTTTTAATATTATATCTTTACGTTACCTTTTTAATTTATTTTCCTGATTGATTATTAGTACCCCCACCCCCGCTGTTTGGTATCAGTATACACGTTTGATTGGGTATTGTATTTATTCTTTAAAACTTATCGTTACTAATTATCATTAGGCCTGTACGTTACTGGTGTCCCTATCCGTTTACTAGCTAGCGTGTTATAATCAAGGTTGACCCGTGTGTAGCGAGTGGTGGATAGTCAGATGTACCCATTGTTCACTCCCGTATTTTACTTTCTTACAGGCGGGAATGCTCATCTTGTGTCACTGTGGGGAGAAGACGAAGGCAGACCATATATGCAGGCTATTCACTTTTCGTTTGCGTTTGGTGGAGTAATCTCCCCTTTAGTAACAGCCCCGTTTCTTGTACCTAAACCCGAGGATGTATCAATCAACTCTTCGTTGACAAACCTAACTTCTAATGGTATCTTCAATACTACGCTATTAGATTATAACATCACCAATGATAACTCAACTCTAGGTAACAATATCACCACGATTGCTGAACCTATTGAAACTAAATTAATCTATGCTTATATAATATCTGGTATTCTCACCTTACTATCCGCCATTCCTTTCATGGTGATATATTGTCGTTACAAGTCAAAGAAAATGAAAAGGAATCAGCCCAAGAAGCAGGAGAACAGTCCGGCAAGAGACCTTCCATGGAAATACTATATACTGGCAATTGTCCTGTTGCTTGTGTTCTATTTAACATATTGTGCTGTGGAGGACACATTTGCCGCGTATTTACTGACTTTTATGGTAATGGAACTTAAATGGACTAAGGCACAGGGTACGCAAATTACTTCTGTATATTGGGCAGCTTTTGCCATCTCAAGATTTTCAGGAATTTTTATCATACGTTGTTTAAGACCGGTTGTATTGTTGTTTATATGTCTAGCAAGTTTAATGTTATGCTTAATAGGCTTTTTATTATGTTCGCATTATCAAATACACATAGGAATTTGGATTTTCGCCGTTTTAGTCGGGCTTTCAATGTCGGTTATATTTCCTACTGGGTTTTCTTGGGCCCACGAAAATCTCCTACAAATAACTGGTAAAATCACATCCTTTATATTAATAGCTGCATCATCTGGCACGATGACGAATCCTATTATTATGGGATATTTGATGGGAGAGGTAAGTCCCATGTGGTACTGTTATTTATTAGTAGGCGAGAGTGTTTTATGCATTTCGATATTTTTCCTCTTGTTATCCGTCTCTACTTTTGTTTTAGTAAACAAACGTATTGTTCATGCGTCACCGGAAACCAAACCCAACGCGAATCAGCAAACAGAATCCATTGACAATCGCACACCTTTCATTCCTAATAATGGATCATCTGCACTGTAATCTAATGTATATTCTGAATTGTGTTCTGTATAAAAATCTAAGATAATCTTAGTAATTTTGTGGTTATGGGTTGTGGGGAAGGGGCTACTTGACACCAGAAACAGACGACGAAGACAGGGGTAGCATCAGCTGCTTACGATTATGGCCACACTCTGATATATACGCCATGCAGTGTGCTATGTGGAAAATTTTGCCCGGATACGTGCACTCGAGTGTGTATAAGGGACCTTGTGTTTTTGGTCCCATGCAGGGATTAATCACAGGACCTCCAGGTTACCATGCCAACGCCTTATCTCCTGGACCACCGCTGCTCTAATGGATTTATGGTTAATAATGTTCTTCTTTGACATGTTTGGATATTAAAATTAAATGGAACAGGGTGATACGTTATACACCAAATTCCATAGGATACACGTGCTGCAAATGATATACACAGATCCTTGTATTTTTCTTCCCATACGAACAACTAGATGCTTGGCCTTGCCACTGATATGCTGGACTTCTTTGTACGGTTTGACTCCAGGAAAATGTTTTTTTTTTGTGAAACGTCGTTGAAAACAAACATTCATTAACTCTTTTACCGTGCAATGGAATAACCGTCAGAGTTATTTTACATATAGGTGGTATGAGATGTTCCACTGTACTACTAGCATACACAATAAACACAGAAAGATCTTACGAAACTAACTTACAATAGATCTGTATTTCAGTACGTCGGTGGTCCGCAGTAGACCAACACCGATTCCGTTAAACAGGCAACCCTAATAAGTGTTGGTGTAGGCCTTTGATCATGTTGTTGCTATGTATGGTTTCGGTTATGTTGTTGTATTTTGTCTATATATATTTGCCTCACACCTGTTTTACTGTATTAGCTTGATAACGTTGAGAGAATACTCTACGAAACGTCGCCTTAAATACACTAGTAGCTGTTTTCCATAAGTATGTGTTTTGTTGTTATACATGCATGGAGTGGAAACCTTGAACGAACTCGTGATTTGAAGCGGACGCATCAGACAACATGCTCTGATATAGTCATGAAGTGTATTTCGTATTGCATGACGTAAGTACAGCTTAACGTCATAATGACGTAACGCATTATACTATTATTTTTTCATTTGGCATCATTGCTGATGACGTATGTGAGAACGACACAGCTAGCAATTCAAATCTGTAGATATAATTCATCCGAAAAGATGAACAACCAATCAAAATTTGAAAAAGAGTCGACGGGATTAGTGATGTCTAGAGTGTTAACTCGTTTTCTTAAATCAAGAGTCGTCACTGTTCGAATCTTTGTCGGATTTTAAAAAGATTAACCTATCACTTACTCAATAAAGATTCTTTTTAATGGGTAATTATTTATTAAAGCATGTTTAGTGAACAGACGGACAGGAGCCCAGCTATAGCCCCTAAATGGTAAAGTAGCTCGTTTTTCAGCGGAGGGTCGGGTAGCCAGCCAAAAGGTGACGAAGAATAAGGAGTTGTACTTTTTCTTTTCTTTATTATAAATCCGTTATGTACAGTGCTCTCTCTCTCTCTCTCTCTCTTTCTCTCTCTCTCTCTCACCGCCGCGCCAATCCCACGAGTCCGTCTACTGGTAAGGTGTTACCGCCACAGACGCATCATGACGTCTGGTCATTTCCCGACCAACCACTGTTTGTCGTGTATTTTTTACACGGTGAACAGTCCATATGCTGATTACACTATTTTGCCTGATTACACTATTTGGCCTATACCGCTTTTTTAGGACTTTTGTCTAATGGTTTGGATTGTTCGTACTTGGTTTTATTTTATTTATATGCATAGTGAGTTACGTGACAGCTTAACCACGCCTCCTACCTGTCAGTCATATGCACACGGTCAGCGATGCCCTTGTGTGTTATGATTTCCAAAGCATGTTATGAATGTCAAGTCAAATAAATAGTACATACTAGATTATAATTATGAAATGGAACAATAATTAACTAAAATACATATGAAATTAAAATATTACAACGGAATAATCTATAAATCTTACTACAATCAGTGGAACTGGCTTCCATTTTATTTGACATGATATAAGGTTACTAGTTCAAAAAGTGGATATGGATCCTAACGGTTCATAACACATACATGTAGTTAAATAGATAATGAACCCGTCTAATTTCGAAACAGGAACGTGTTTATCGATAATGTAGCTCAAATAATTAGGGACTTTGTTCGGGAATACTTAAGAAATATTTTTACACCCATTTGTCGTTATTTGGCCACGTGCTACCGCTCAATATTCAGAAAGCATTGTAATTCTTGCAAATGTTCAAATGCTTAAATTTCGAGTTACTGGTAAATGAATTAAAAAAGAAAATGTTATTCACATATTGTCAATAAAATATTTTTATCGATAGACAATTTTTAAAAGAATGGGAAATTGATCTTATTGCTGTGTTTGTGACCGGCAACGTTAGTCGTCAATGATTAAAGAGGGGTAACTGATTTGAAGAAACGTGGATGCAGACTTTTCCCCAAACTTTCGTTGGGCTGAATGCTTTTAACTTCAGACAGAGGAACCAATGTTCATGTCTTTGTACCAAAATTTGTATGAGGTTGACTTCTAAAATTTTGAGATGCACAAACTTGAAGAAGCATTCTAAAAACCTGTATCTATTCGCCGTACATATCACCGTAACCAACCCGGTAGCGCGTCCATTCTAGACCAAAACATCAACACAAATGGGCATGCAAAAGGGGAGAAAAGAGACAGAGAGAGAATTGCTATAAGTAGACGAACTACAATTTGTGGGTACCGAGATGGTGAAATTTAATGGTGGCCTGCCAACTATATGGGACGGGGGGGGGGGGGGGGCACGTGGCTAAGTGGGTAAGACGTTGGCTGGAGGTCGGGTGTTCGATCCCTGCATTGGCCGAGAAAGTTCATCCAGATTTTTCAGCGTGCCCCCCCCCCTCGTCAGTGATGCAGGACGGAGGGTCTGGCAAGGACAGCTGTCTAGTCCTTCGGGTGAGACGAAAAACCGAGGTCCCGTGTATACATTGGATTGAACGTAAAAGATCCCTTGGCAGTTGGAATTCGATATAAGAGTAGGCGATAGTGCCGCTGCCCGGGCAAAATTTCCCTCATAGCACACTGTCTGGCGTATGCCCGTCTTCATTAGCCCAGCATAGGAGTAGAACAGTAGGACGTTAAACCCAATTTAATTTCATTTCCTATATGGGGATGCTCGACTGTCAGACGCGGAATTCAGTTCTGCCACAGTTCTGTCAGTTCCGACAACGAAGGCGTTGTGAGTAGAAAAGTGACGTAATTAAACACAACGAATATATTTCGACTTTTTCAGACGGCGCATGCGTTACATTTCTAAATCATTCTTTTCACTCGCTTGTCACTGTGTTTTGGATTGAGTAAATTCAATTCCGGAACGTTCAATCTAGTATCCCCTCAGGCTGATATATCATCAATACTCGATTGTCAGTAGGCAATGAGTGGCGTGACATTCTGTTCTGTCAGTCTCGACAACGGAGTTTGTTTGAGTAGAATAGCGACGTAATCAAAGTTACAATCGAGTGAGAAGGGGTATTTCGGGCTACAAAGCATGCGCCGAAAATATCTTAACCAACACAGCAGAAAAATACTCGTTTTTAATTACGTCACGATTTTACACACACCACCTTAGTTGTCGAGACTGGCGTAACAGTGACAAGACTTAATTCCGGGTTACTCGATCGCAATTCTGTCAGTACAAAGTAGGTAATATTGCGACTAACATATTACAGGTATGAGAGTAGAGGGAGGGTAGTGTTTAACGTTCAGACAGTACAAACTAGGTAATGTTAGGACTAACATATTACATGTATGTGTACGAGGGAGGGTAGTCGTTTACGTTCAGACAGTACAAACTAGGTAATGTAGAGACTAACATATCATAGATCAGCTCGCTAGTCTGGGAGTTCGTGGGTTCACACCCGGTGTTGGCCGAGAGAGTTCATCGGGATTTTCCGGCTTGGTTTCATCTTGTCAGTGGACGGAGAACCTGACAAAGACAACTGTCTAAACCGATGTCCCGTGTACACTCAGGCGTGCAGCTGGAATTCGATATAAGAGTAAGTCGTATGCCACTGTCCGTGAAACATTCCACTCATAGCACACTGTATGGCGTATGCCCGTCTTTATTAGCCCAGTCGGAGCAGAGCAGTAGGAGGTTAAACCCCATTTCATTTCATTTCTTTGGGAACTAAACCAGTCCAAAGAAATAAATGAAAAGGAAATATTAGAGGTGTGCAATCCCCATATCTTGTTAACAGGATCTTCACATAGTTTGTAATTATGTACATGTATTATTATAAAGGGACATTATGTACATATATTTTTATAAAGGGACATTATGTACATATATTATAACTAGGATATATTCTTATAAAGAGACATATATTATATATATATATATAAATGCCTGGATCTTCGATGTAAATGTTGCGACCATATTACGCCAAATAGCAAATATAATTTTCCTAAGTTTACATTTAGTGTCAACGAAAATATGAATTGTGACACAAAAAATCTCATATATGTCTTGACTTGCAATGGGTGTCTAAATTTCTACGTGGGGGAGATGTCCGCGCATCTACGGGATAGAGTACGCAACCATCGACGGGATTGTAATATTGAAAATGGGCCCTTATTTGTAAATAGACATATCTTAAAATGTGCACAACACCTACAAGTAAAATTCCAAATTTTCCCTTTTTATAAAATGAAAGTCAATGACACCACGAAAAGGAAATTAATGGAAAACCATTTTATTAAAAAATATGTTCCTCGACTTAATAGTCAATAAGTAATTTGGCCATTAACTTCATTAATTTTCTTAAATCTATCCCATGATTATCTTACACTCATTGGTCATAAATTGAACCCATATACTACAGATTAACACACGTGTGTACATGTTTTCTATTAGTTAACGATATACTATGTAACCATAGACAATGGTAACTATAGCCAATTA